CTGTAAATATAAAATATACTAAACACATCTAGTAATTATAATGTATAGTTTGATGTACAGGGAAATTATAGTTTTATTTAGTTAGCATTGAATAATTTATTTAACTTATTTATTTGTTCTAATTCTGAAAATTAGTTTTTTAGTATGTTGACATAAATTAAAATCATTAAATATTATTTTATATTATATGTAGCAATGAATTGTACTGTACATAGGTTATTGATTTGGAAATAAACTGATCACTTCACATGCATTTGCACACACATACATGCATTCTTGTGCACACACACATGCATTCTTGTGCACACACACAATACATATAGTGTATATACAGAGATAATTCAGTTGTTTCATTTAATAAAATATGAACGTTTTTGTATATAGTAATTTTTGATTTAAAAGGATTTTTAAATCAAAAAGTGTTAGAGGATGAACACAGATAAATGTAATAAAAATATGATTATATTGTTATTTAACACTAAGCATCAAATGCTGTGATGTCACCAAAGGCGTCAATGCAGAATCTGAATATTCTTATAGTAGATCCACCATTATTAATTTCGAACACCCTTAAATCATCAAGTGCATACCCTAGTCAGGAATTGCTGGTTTTTAGCATCTTCATTTACATTTTATTAAGAAAATAAATGTATAATAATTTTCAATTGTTGATATAATATAGTCTGCTATTTACTTCTCTGTATTTCAATGTTGGAAACTTTTTCTTAACTTAAAATGCAGAAATAATCATATGATCTTGGTTCCTAACAGTGGATTTTCTAGAAAAGATATGGTGATATATCAAAGTTTCCAGAAATATTAAGTAAATCATACCTTTTAATAGGAGTTTTTAACAAAACAAACATTTTTGATTACTTATATAATCATTATTACAGATAGAACATAAATTTAAAACTTTAGTTCTAGATACAAGCATAAACTTAGATATAAAATAAAGAAAATTTTTGGTAATATCATATTCATATTTCATATTCATGTTTATATTTGGTAGAATTTAAATAACTGGTTTGGTTATCACAAAAATTTACAGTTTTAGAATTATTTTATATGGTTATTAGGATTGTTTTTGAAATTTTTCAACACAGTATGAAAAACAAGAATTTGGTTTGGGAGTATTTATGTAGTGTGTTCTATTTCCCATATTTCTATGCAAATAGGTGTATGCTCTTATTTGTAAAAATGGCTTTTGCATTTTTTGAGATAAATGTCTTGTTTTATTTATAAGAGCATACTCTTTCGTGTGCCATTTTGTTTTGGATTACAAGAGCACTACATATACAGTAACTATTCAGTGACATCTCTGCAGTAAACATTATTAAAAATAAAAATAAAAAAATTGTTTTGTTACTTTAAAAGTTTTTTAATATTCAGTTTTTTAAGGTACGTTCTGGAATATAGTGCCAATTTTTTCCCTCTAAGAATATTCTCTTATATCCAAAGTACTCTTATATATGCTGAAATACAGTAGATTGTTTTAACAAATAATGTAATATTTTATGCTAACCTCTATAGTTTTTGGTGTTAGTCTTGGCTTAGCTCAAGTGAAGTTTATATTTTATACATGCAGATGAATCAAACCTAAAATGTATAGCAGACTGTTGATGTAAACACTTAGAGAACTAAGTTAAATTATTCATTGTATCAAATGATCACTATATTGAGTTCACTATATAAAATCAATATGCCCAATCTAGACTACAAGACTCAAGTGAGAAGGTTAGTCAGTCATTTCTTAATAATAACAACAACAATAATTAGAAATTAATTAAATTATAATTATTATTATAAGATGATGGCCTACATGTTTCTCTCTAGTCCAGATTTGTTTGATTAATTAGAAATCTTATAGTCTAAAAATAGTCCCAAAAATTTGATTTATTGGTTATATTTCAGACAAAAAACTAGCACAAGTAAACTAGAACTATATACTAAACATAACAATTAAAATCTAAATGCTAATTCCAGCACTGAATGAACAAAAAAAAAAAAAAGGTTTAGAAGTTTTAAAATGATAGAATT